TGTGCCGAAATGTGCGGGGCGGCCACATGCAAACATGGCCACGAGGGCCTTGGGTGGAGCTTCCTATGGGGGCATGAAACGTGCGAGGGGTGTGCTGAAATATAGGGTAGACGTAAAGATGGGTGGAGTAAGGAGGGGAAGGAGGAAGGAAGGAACGCGGGGCGCTGTCTTTTCAGAAGGAGGACCCAAACACCACAGCATGGAAGGGAACATTGCGACGGATGGTTCCTGGCTATCTTTCGGCACCTGGGGGCCTTCGCCGGGCCCCGGGACTGTCAAACAAGGCTTCGGGATGACCAGCTGGTCCAGGGGAGTGGGTCGGAAACTCCTGGGGTCGACGGGGCGAGGATACGCGACGTCGGGGGCCTGGGAACCGGTCCCGGGGGAATCGGGCCCCGAGATTTTCGCCGCTTCCGGGTCCTCTGGGGCCCTCCGCAGGCCCTGGTGGCGCTCCGAAAAAGCGACCCTGGATGCGAAGGGCTGGTCTTTGGGGGACCACCCGCGGGGTCCAGGACCCGTTGCCCTCTGGAGCCGCATCCTGCATGCCAGGAGAAAATGCGGCGCCCCCGAGACGGCACAAGAGAGGGCGCCAGGGCGGCCCAGCAGAGCTGGGCGACGCAACCCCGGGGTGCGGAGAGGGTCGCGCTTCGCGCGCTGTGCGGCACGGGCCCGGAGATCCAGGCCTCCCAAGGCGGTGTCCGAGCAGCTGGGGTCGGAGGATCGCGCCGCATCGCCGATGCATCGGCAGTGCGGCTCGATGTGGAGGCCGATTTTCTGCACGCCGCCGGCGCCGATGCGTCTGCGACGTCGCGGATGCATCGCCGATGCATCGCCGATGCGGCGCGATCCTCGGACCCCATGTGACGTCTCTTAGCCCCCGATGGCCCAAGGAGTTTTGGGTGCCCTTCGTCGCGAGCGGCGAACGTATCCATGTCCACGCCCTCGCGGTCGAATTTCTGGGCCGCGATCCCGCGGAACTGCGGTCGTACGGATACGTTCCGCGCGGGGCACCCGCGACAAAAAACGCACTGTATGCGCCTGGTCGCGGCCCAGGTGCCGGGAGCGCGAGGCCGCGGATGCGGATGTGTTTCCTGCCCACGACTTCCGAGCAGTGGCGAAGCGTCTTGGCTTGCCTATAGGCCCACCAAGGAATGTTCTAATAACCTTTTGTTGTCCACACGAAATGTTCTTAGGCCATTTCTGGCTGAGACTGCTTATTTGAGCACATCGGGTGCATGTTCTAAGAACATGGTTTTTGTTGTTCGAGCGCTTCTGGGTTCCAAGGTCATTGCGTGGTAGGCCTATAGGAATGCCGGGACGGTGGGTCCCTGCTCAAGACTTAGGGGGTCAATTCTTGGCGACATGGGCGCCTCTCTCATCGTGTGTATTTGCTCTAGAAGCAGAGCGGGGCGGATCGCATGCCCCCCTCCTGCTGGCTCCCCAGACGTGCACTTTCCAGGGTGGGACGGGCACCGCCAGTTCCTGGACATCCCGGAGAAGATGCCCTCACCCCTCTGGGACAGGAATCGGGAGCGTCCAAAAGGGGGTGATGACCAGGGGTGTGTGGACATCATGACCGGGGCATGACATCGCCCCGGATCGCCTGGCCCCTGTTCTCTTGGCGTCGCTCGGACTCCTGCGAGGAGCATCTTGGGCCATCCTGCGAAACGTCTACGCACGAAACGGAACAACGCACGGGGAACGGACGTCCGAGCGATGGCGAGCTCTCAATGTCAATACGTCCCCTCTCTCCCGCCCTTCGTCCGCGCCCACGCCTCGGGCCGTGGTCTGCGACCCCCCCCCCGTTGGACGCCCCTCCCTTGGAGTGCCCCCCGGAGGAAGGGCATCGTGCTCGAGAACGAGCAGTTCCTGTTCTGGTGGGAGCTCTCGCAGATGAGGCCCGGCGGCGAGCGGGGGAGGGAGGGGGGGGGGCGAGGAGCAGGAGGAGGCCATCTCGGCAGGCGGCGGGGCTCCTCGGAGGCCCCCCGCGCCCTCTGAGACGTGCCCTGTCGCCTCCGGGAGGGGCGAAGCACTTCTCGGAGGGCCGGGGCCCTCTGAGGAGGCCCTCTCCCTCCTCCTCCTTCTCCCCTCCTCCCCCTCCTCCTCCTCCTCCTCCTCCTCCTCCTCTCCTCCTCCTCTCCTCCTCCTCCTCTCCTCCTCCTCCTCCTCCTCCTCCCTCCTCCTCCTCCTCCTCCTCCTCCTCCTCCTCCTCCTCCTCCTCCTCCTCCGCCTCCCCGCGCCCTCCAGAAGGCCCTCTCCCTCTCGCCCTCCCCCCCGAGCCCGCCGCCGAGCGAGGCAGCGGCCCGGCGTGACCTACTTCGGGTCGTGCGCCGAGATGATGTCGCAGCTGGGCTCTCTCGCGCCCGTCGGCGGAAGAGACGTTTCCGCGCCCACGGCCTCGCGAGGGAGGGAGGACGGAGGAGAAGGAGAAGGAGGAGGGCGAGGCGGAGGCGGAGGCGGAGGCGGCGGAGGAGGAGGAGGAGGAGGAGGAGGAGGAGGAGGAGGAGGAGGAGGAGGAGGAGGACGAGGAGGAGGAGGAGGAGGAGGAGGAGGAGGGAGGAGGAGGAGGAGGAGGAGGAGGGAGGGAGGGAGGAGGGAGGGAGGGAGGGAGGGAGGGAGGGAGGGCGGAAGCAAGGAAGGAAGGAAGGAATGAAGGAAGGAAGGAGGGAGAAGGGGGGAGGGGCTGGGCCCCCGGGTCGCGACCCCGTGGGCACGTGGCGTTTTGTGTGTGGATGCCCTGCGTAGAGTGCACCCTGAAGGAGGCGTCTCTCACTGAGGGCAAGCGTGCACTGGAGGCATTTTTTCCTCTGAAGGCGGAAACAACTTCGAGGCACGAGTGGATTCAGAGGGCACGTTTGCGCTGAGTGCGGGAGTCTCACCGAAGGCAGCATTTGCTGCCTTCAGTGAGCCCCCTGCCTTCGATTCTCCCTTCAGTGAGCTCACTACGACCGCGTACCCACGGGATCGCGTTCTGGAATCCAGACCGCGAGGGCGTGGATTCGGAGGGCACCAACTATACACCAACACCGATCCTGGCCAGGATCACTCTGGGCCCAGGATCGGTGCATACGCCTTCTTGTCCAAGGCAGGAGGTCGTATACACCGATCCTGGGCCCAGGGTGATCCTGGCCAGGATCGGTGCTGGTGCATGGTTGGTGCCCTCCTGTGGATGTGGACGCGCTCGCCTCCCGTGAGGTTCGCTGGACCACCGGGGCGTGTCCCTCGAGATGCGGAGGGCGTACGCGGGGTACCTGCAGCACAACCGGAGGGCGGTTTCCGCGGCGCTGGCCAGGGTGCTGCACGACCCCGCGGGGAGAAGGAACAAAAACATACCACGGCACGAGCGGCGGAGAGCCCGCCGCGCACGCCTCGCGGATCCAGCCAGCCTCTTCCCTCCTGCCACTTCCTCCCTCCCTCCTCTCCTCCCTCCTCCTTCTCCGCCCTCCCTCCTCCCTCCCTCCCTCCTCGCTCCTCCCTCCTGCTCCTCCTCCCTCCTCCCTCCCTCCCTCCTCCCTCCTCCCTCCTCGCTCCTGCCTCCTGCTCCTCCTCCCTCCTCCTCCCTCCTCCCCCCCTCCGCCCCTCGCTGCAGACCTCGGGGGGGGCACCGCGCCAGCAGGAGGCCCTCGCCCGCCTCTGGAGCTGGCTGCCCGGGGGTGGTCGCCACCCTGCCGGCCGCACGAACCCCCGATGCTGGGGCGATCGAGACGGGTGCGGAAGCAATGGGTGCGAAGTCCAGCAGCAGCTCTTCTGTGACGGGCCTGTTTTTCACCACCACTACCACCACCAGAAGTTGGAGGGGGAGGGGGTCCTCCTCCTCCTCCTCCTCCTCCTCCTCCTCCTCCTCCTCCTCCTCCTCCTCTTAGTCGTCCTCCTTCCTCTCCTCCTCCTCCTCCTCCTCTTCGTCCTCCTCCTCCTCCTTCTCTTTCGTCCTCCTCCTCCTCCTCCTCCTCTTCGTCCTCCTCCTCCTCCTCCTCCTCCTCCTCCTTCTCTTCGTCCTCCTCCTCCTCCTCCTCCTCCACCTCCTTCCCCCCTCCAACTTGTGGTGGTGGTGGAAGCCAGGCGCATCATTGTTTCAATTTGAACGGGGTTCGCCGTCGGCGTCGCCGCGGTCCTCGTCCATTTGAGAAGGAGCCGCCTGCCCAACGCCGGCCGCCGTCGATCTTGGACAACAGCTGTTGTTGGGCCTCGTACCCGTTTTCTTCGTACCTATTTCGGGCGTCCGCATGAGAAGTGGCACCAGGCGTGCGCCGCGGACGGGGCCATAGCGTCGCACCTCGTCGTCAGCGCGTCGGCGAGGCGCTGCGATCCAGAACCCGGGCGCCCTTCACCCTGACGTCGCCGATGCATCGTCTCATGTATCGCCGATTCGCTGCGATGCTCCGACCCCGCCCGCTGCGACTCCGTGTGGGTCCAGCGGCCAGCGCTGGCCGCGCCCACCCCCGAGGCAGCGCTGGACTGCCAGGGCAGGGCCGCTCTTTCGGCGGCGTGCTCTCGCCGAGAGGGGCGTCGGCCAGCGGGGTAGCAGGTCGGAGCAACATGCGAGCGTGCGCTCGCGCTTGGCAGGCACGGCCGCGGGTTGGGCCGCCAGCAGCGCAGTGCCTCCGCGCAGCGCCTTCTGCCACAGTTGCCTGCGGCGGCGCTCTACCCGCTTCGGCGCGGCCCCCGGCAGTATCGGCTGCGTACGCTTAAGAGTGACCCTTCGCGGGAACGACCTTTTGCTTCGGGCCCACTGGGTTCCCCGATCGCTGAATCCTTGTCGTCGGAACGGGCCCAATCCTTGCTGGGATAGGGTAGGTTAGCTATCCCTGCGCCTGGCGTTTCCCCTTTGACGATGGGCGCTGAGGGGCCCAAGGGAGACGGAACCCATCCCCACCTGTGGGGCGTAGGTCGGCCAGCCGTGCCAAGGTTTCAACGGTGCGGTGAGGGTGGGTTCAGCTGATCATATTGAATCCGAGACCAAAACAGTAGCAGCGGCTTGTGCGCTTGGGCCTGTGCCCTCCTCCGCGCCCCGAAAAGCCGCACACCAAAGGCAACTTGCCCGCGGCGAGAGCCGGATACACGTGGCCAGATGTCGTTCAAGCGCTCGGCCCTTCTAGGGCTCGGCACGCTGCGCTCTCGGATGTGTCTCCGGCGCGCACCCCCAGCCAGGTGTGCGTTTCCAGCCTCCTGGCAGCCGATTGCAGAGGCATCGCGGCCTGTACTCGTGTGGCGCTCGGCGCTCGCTGCGCTCCCCCTGTCAGCTGCCAGGGCGGGCCTGCTCGGGAGCTTGAGCCTCAAGCCAGCGGGCGAGCGGCGCGGTGCTGCCCTCTATACTGCTGCCTGCCATCGCAGGCGCGGTGCGCTCGTCGTGAAGTCCACGGCTGTATCCCCCGTGTGTTGGCCGCCGCCAGGCACGTCGTTTCCCACGCCTGCGTGTGTCCCACGAGACTTCTGTTCATTGCGGGGACGCGTGGCGTGTGTCAGTGTGGCCCAGGGGCTCTCCCACTCCGCTCTGGTCGCCAGCGTGCCTGGAAGAGCCGTGCTGCTTCGACGCCCTTGGGGTGCACGATGCGCGTTTGAGCTTGGTTGGGCCGCTCCAGCGCCTCGTTGGCCTACCGCGCACTGCGCAGGCAGTCAGGGACTTCTGCCGAGGGGACCTTCGTCAGATCCGCAGCTGCATTGTCAGCGGGTGAAGACGGCTTCGGAGGCTGTGTGCTCCCTGGCCCACCCGATCTTACCACGAAGCTGGACACAGAACACTCAGCACACAACAGACAACACACAACACACAACACTGTTTGCGTCGGCGGCTAGGCAGGTGACGTCTGCGCTGGCGGAAGAAGTTAACTAAACGGCGGCACCGTTGAACTGAATGGGCCAGCATGCAAGAGGGGGAGGACGGACGGAGCGGGCGGCCGCAGGGAGGGGGAAAAATGAGGGCCATTCAAGGGGGACGGATCACTCCCTGAGCGAGCTGGCGCGGCCAGCCCCGCCGGCGGGGACTGGGGCGGCTGCTGCGCCAGGGTTTCAGCGGCGGCGGGGCCCAGTGCGGGTACTGTAAGTCAAACATCACGAAGCCGCCGAGGAGCACGAAGCGCAAGGCCAGCGGGGACAGACAACACACACACACACCACACAGCACGCAACACACCGCACACAGCATACAGCACACAGCGCGCAGCACACACCACACAACGTACAACACACACACACACACACACCGCACAGCGCACAAACAACACAGCACAACACAACACACATATCACACACACACAACGCACACCACACACGCACAGCGCACACAGTCACGCACACACAATCACACGCAACCTCACACACATTCGCGCACACCACAGTCACATACACGCGCACACACGCACGCACGCACACACACCCACACACCCACGCACCAACACCCACGCACCCACACACCCGCGCACCCACACACCCACACACCCACACGCACCCACACACCCGCACACCTACACGCACACGCGCACACAGTTGAACACACATGCGCACACGCACACGCACACGCACACGCACACGCATACGCACATGCACACGCACACGCACACGCACACGCGCACGCACACGCACGCGCACACGCACACGCACACGCACACACAAACACACACACACGCACACGCACACACACAACGCATCACAACACACACAGCACACAGCACACACATGCTCACACACGTACGCACATACAGATGCACGCACGCACGCACGCGCGCACGCACGCACTCACGCACACACGCAACACAACACAACACAACACAACACAACACAACACAACACAACACAACACAACACAACACAACACAACACAACACAACACAACACAACACACTACAACACAACACAACACAACACACGGCACCGCACCGCACTGAACCGCAATACAAAACCACGCGACACAACACAACACAACGCAACACAACACGACGCAACGCAACACAATACAACACACACACACCACACAACACAACACAGCACAACACACAACACACACACACCCCCCCACCCCGACACACACACACACACGCACACACGCACACGCACACGCGCCCGCACACAATCACACACGCGTCGCGGCTGGCTTGGGCGAGAACTTGATACGCACGTGTCCGGATGTCTTTCAAGCGCTCGGCCCTTCTGTGGCCGGGTACCCTGGGATTCCGCACGAGAGTTTGGCGGTTGGCTTCTCGGATGCTGCGCGTGGATCTTGCCGCGTGTGCTTCTGGCTCCCTGTCGTGCTCTTGTCTCCAGCCGGAGGCCCGTGCTGCTCCGCAGCGGCTGCCGCCTCGGCGGCCTGCGCCGCGCCCGCGGCGCGCCCCAAAGGTGGGCGCGCCCCGCTCTGGGCTGCGGCGCTCTCCGCTTGGCCGACCCTCAGGTGGCGGGGCGCCGCCGCTGAGGGCGCGGTGGCGGCCCGCCGCCAGCATCTTCCTCCTCGCTCTGTAGGTTTGCCTGCGGTTCGGTCGGTTTGGTTGCGTCGCAGGCGGTTGCGTTCGGTCGCGTCGGTTCGGTTGGTCGTTCGGTCGTTGCCTCGTCGCCGCGCCTTTCCAGACCTCTGGCGGCCTGCCGGTTTCGGTTTCGGTTTTGGTTTCGTTGTCGCTTCGGTCGGTTTTCGGTTGTGCTGTCGCTGCTCTCTGCTTCTCCTCTGCCTCCCACTGCTGCCGTCGGGAGTCTGGACCCCGCGCAGTACTTCGCGGCGTGGCCCGCGGCGCCGACACGCAGTGGGCGAGCAAGCGGGTTCGTGGCCATGACCGCTCGGTGAGCGCCGAGTTCTTGGGGAGCTTTTGGCCCCTGTGTCGAGTCTGAGGCGCCTTATGTTGTTGCGCCTGCATTGTTGCCCCGGGGAGGGGAGGAATCGAGGCCTTGGCTTGGTGCAAGTCTATATTGGTTCGAGCCAGCTCGGCCCATGGAGCCGGGCGCCGTCTGGCCCGCAGCCCGCCTGCCCAATGGCAGGTGCTGGCCTCGGCCAAGGCGCGCTCGCGGCGTGGCGGCGCGCGGTGGATCTGGACCCCGGTTGCGCAGAGGGCTGGCTCGCGCTGGGCCGCGAGGCCGCGCGGGCGAGCGCGGCGTCTCAGGAGAGGGTGGCTCCGCCGTGGGTGGTCGAGCAGCTCGGGGCCCGGGGCCAGGCCGAGTCGGGCCTTGGCGGGGCCGCGGAGGCCCGCAGCGCCCTGCGGGCTGCGCTGGCCGCGCGGCCGACGTGGGCGAAGGCGCACGCGATGCTCGCGCTCGTGTGCCAGGCGTGGGCGCCGAGGAACGAGAGCTGCGTCCTGCGGCACGCCGCGGCCGCGCTGTCGCGGGACGCCCAGAGCGAGCCGGCGCTGGTGGCGCTCGCGGCCGCGAAGGCCGACGCCCTGCCGCTCGCGAACAGCTGCAGCGGGTCCTGCTCCGCCGCCGAATGGGCTGCTGGCGCGGGCCGACTGACCGTGCAGCGGCGGGTCCTCGAGCGGGAGGTGGCGGCGCTGTTGCGCCGCGCGGTGGCGGCGGCGCCGGAGCGGGCGGAGCTGAGGGCGGCCCTTGCCGCACAGTTGGGCGGCTCGGACGAGGCTCTGGAGCTGCTACGCTCCGCGGTAGATCTGGCGCCGTCCTCCAGGCTCATCGTCGGTTTCGCGATGAAGGAGCTGCGCTACCACCGGCGTCCAAGGGAGCGCGGCGAGATGCTGCAGGCCGCGCTGGGAAGACGCCTCTGGCGGCTCCCCTTTCACCGGCCCCTGGTGTACTGGCCGTCCTTCGCCGCCGTGTCCTCGCAGCCCCAACTGGAGATCCTGCGCCTCGCGCTGGGAGAGTTTCGCAGCCGCCTGCCAGAGATCCGCAAGGAGCTGATGGAGTCCTTCAACTCCAGGCTGGAACTCGACGGTGCCTTCGCTGGCCTGGACGGGTTCACCCCCTGCCCGACTCGCTCGCGCTGCTCGGAGGAGACGCCAGGGCTGCTGCCCGCGCGCACGCGTTATGCCGGGCGCTGGCTGGAGCTGCAGATCTACGACGAGCGACTGGGCCAGTGGCGCGAGCGGGGCTGCCAGGCTGGCCTGTCGCAGAGCACCTGCGACGGCCTGGCCGCGATCGCGCGGCTGGGCCTGCGGCCCCTGCAGGCCTCTGTCTCCGCGGTCTTTGGCCCCGCCACCTACATCCAGCCGCACGAACAGCTCTACGACATGTACCGCATGCACTGCGTGCTGGCGCTCCCCGCGGGCGCCCAGTCTGTGCTCCAGCTCGGGGACAACTCGAGCATCGTGCACGGCGCGCAGGGGGGGGGCCGGGAGTGCTTCTGGTTCAACGAGGCGGTGGAGCACGAGCTCAGCTTCTCTGCGGGGCCCGGCCTCGTTCGCACCGTGCTTATCGTCGACGTGATTCCCCCGGAGCTTTTGCGAGCGGGGGCGCCGCTGGTGGAGGAGAGGCCGTTCAGTGCCAGCCACCTCGCCCGGGCGTACATGTGAAGGCTGGTACGACCCAGCCTGACCGTCGAGTGATGTGAGGGCTCTGGCATAGCAGCCCGGGAGACGTAAGACTTGGGTTTGTCAGAACGAAGGTCTGCTGCCATTTTGTGACGGTTCCGGCGTGAATATTGGCGATCAAGTGTCCGTAAGATGTTTGCAGCGGGAGTTTGCGTCAATTGTCAGACTAACGTCCCGCCATTTATCTGATGGTTGTGTCAGGCAAGTTCGAGTTCCCCAAACTTGAGTCTGACGTCTTCCCGAATTGAATGCTTGGCCGTTCAGGGATACGAGCACTTTCGCACCGCAGTTTCACAAGTAGGCCTGCCTGGGGGGTCAACTTGTTTTGTGTCGAGGGCCTGGGATCTTTGCCAGGGTTCCCCAGCCGGCTTCTTGACACACAAGCACCGACTCCTCGTTCCAAACCAAGTCTTCGCATTTTCCTCATCATAGCATGGCCGACACGTCATACCATCGCTTTGCATTTCGTGGAGTTGAGAGCATTGAAGCCTGATGCCATACCAGGATGTCAATGTTATATCATAGAGCGCCGTATACTACGAATTCTGTTTGTTGTTGCGCTCGTACAGATGTACAATACATACAGTTATGCGTACAGGTATCGGTATACATTTTTGGCCATAGAACAGCATTGCATAATATCGCAGCCCACGTAGCGCCACAGATCATTGTATTGCACTGGCATTGCTTTTGTATTGCTGTTGTACCGCGCTGCGCTGCATTGTAACTATGTCTGCGTCGCTGTCGCTGTTAGTACGGCATTGCTGTTGCGTTGGTTCGCGTTGCTTCGCACTCCTTCAGCATTGTAGTGCGCATCTCTTTTGCATTGATTTCTAACTGCGTCTGCATTGTGGTGCTTTCGCGCTGCGATTGCGTTGCAGTTGACTTGCCTTTTCGTTGCTCTTAACTTGCGCTGCATTGCTCTTGCATTGCAGCGAATTGTCTTAGCACTGCTGTCCAGTGCGTCTCTTTGTGGTGTGCATTTGGCTTGTGTATTAGCGTTTACGGTTGGATTGCAGTGCATTGCGTTGCTTGTGTATCATTTCCCACTGCCTGAGTGTGCTTAGTTGCGTTGAGTTACGATGCGCTGCGTTGCAATGCTGATGCGTTCTGGCATTGCGTGGCGTTGCTTTTGCCTTGCTTCCGGTTGCGCTGCATCGCGTTGCGCTACGTTGCGTCGCATCGCCTCTCTTTCCATTGCACAACGTTTGCGTTATCTTGGCTGTCTCCAGCCCCGTGTCTCACCACGGATTCGTACTTGAATGGGGTTCCGAACCGGGGTCGCGCCGGGGGACCGCCGCTGGATCTGCAGAGCTCGCATATCCCGCTGCGGCCTCCTCGGGACAGGTCATTAGGGGGCCACATGCGAACCCTACCCCTACCCCCCACGATTTCTGAGGGGGGGGCGGGGTCACTCCGTTCGGGAGCTCCCGAGCGAAGTGAACCCCACCCTCGCCCTCAGAAATCGTGGGGGGTAGGGGTAGGGTTCGCATGTGGTCCCCTGTCCCCGCCCAGCCCTGCACGCGCTCGCGCACACCACGGTTTTCTGTAGGCTCGTGCCGTGTCGACGCGGCTGCGACCTCGGCGCGGGCGTTCGAGGTTGGAGCGCCGCTGGATGCCCAGAATCGGGCTACATACAGTATCTTGGCATCGCTCGGACGTGTGCATTTTTCCTCGGCGAGAACCATCGAGGACCATCCTGGACCATCGAGCAAAAAAACACGCACGAAACCAACAAATGCACGGGAAATGGACGCCCGAGCGACGGCAAGTACAGTATGGAAAGATCGGGCTATACGTGGAACGCTCTGGCGATCGAAAAGCCGCCGACCGTCGAAGGCCGAGCGATCCACGCGGTGGCAGAGACCCACGCCAGTTCCGCCACGACAAGAGCCTGCCGTACATCGTAGCCTCTCACGGAGCCTGTGCAGGCCTCCGCGCGCAGTCGGACCTCCAGCAGACGGGTGCCGCAGGAAAAAGCACGAGTCCCTGCGCGTGCTCTGGCCCTCGGAGTGCGCGTGCGCGCGCGCCCGCCCGTCCCCGTCGAGGCTCCGCTCGGCGCCGACCGGCCTGCCTCTGCGGCCCCCGCCCTCGTCCTCCGCCGGCGCATCTCTTCTGTTCGGGAGTAGGCGTAAGAGTAGGCTCTAGGGTGAAGTCGGGCGTGTCCCTCTACAGGAGGAACGTTCAAAATAGTAAAAGAATAGTCAGGGGACGATCTTTGAATATTTTTTGAATATTTTTTGTAGACCATTCTTGAACACTTCTGGACTATTTTTTAAGTTTTAGTCCGAATTGCGGGAGTAGGCCTGAGAGTAAGCCCTGGTAGGCCTCATATAGGCCTAGAAGTAGGGCCTATAGGGCAGCCCCATAGGGCAGGCCCAGGGGTACATAGGATCCAGGTCTGGCCCCCCCCCCCCCCAACATGCTGATGGCATCGGGCCACCCCCACCCCCCCGATGGGTTCCCCCCCCCCGCCTCTGGGTGTGGTGTGGTGTTGTGGGTGTGGCGTGTGTGGCGTGGTGCTGGTGCTCCAGGAGAGATCCGGAGGTCGTCGTCTTCGCCGCCGCCGCCGTCGTCTTCGTCGGAGGGCTCCAGAGGTCGGCGGCGGCGGCGCCGCCGCCGCCGCCGCCGTCGTCGTCGTCGTCGTCGTCGTCGTCGTCGTCGTCGTCGTCGCCGCCGTCGTCGTCGTCGCCGCCGTCGTCGTTGTCGTCGTGGCCGTCGTCGCCGTCGTCGTCGCCGTCGTCATCGTCGTCGTCGTCGTCGTCGCCGTCGCTGTCGTCGTTGTCGTCGTCGTCGTCGTGGTCGTCGTCATCGTGGTCGTCGTCGCCGTCGTTGTCGTCGTCGTCGCTGCCGCCGCCGCCGTCGTCGTCGTCGTCGTGGCCGTCGGCGTCGTCCTCGTCGTCGTCGTCGTCGCCGCCGCCGCGGCCGCCGCCGCCGCCGCCCCCCCATCCCATCTGGGGTTGTGGGGGGCCCGTGGAGTCAGTCCTGCGACCCATCCCATCTGGGGGAGGGGCGGGCCCGTGGGCCCTCGACCCAGGATCATATACATATGTGTATATATATACACATTCATAGTGTGTATATCTGTATATATGTATATATGTATATATGTATGTGTGTATACATATATATATATATATATATATATATATACATATATATATATATATAGATTGTTTTTTTTTCTCCTGGGGGGGGGCGCCGATCTGATTTTTTCGATCCGCGACTCCAGAACTCCTGAACCCTTCACTGGAGGCAGTTTCTCGTCCCGGATCCATTTTGGTGTTCCTGGTGCTCGATCCATTTCATGTTCCCAGTGCTCGATAATCGGACGGGGCTCGGACGATGGTAAACCCGTTCCATGGAGCGTGCCGGAACGCTCTCAGAGCGTTACGGAACGCCCTGAGAGGGCCGCGGCGCCCGAGACATCCTCCAGACCTCCCAGATCTCAGAGATTGTCGATTCATCCTCCCTCGAGTTTATCCTCGTCTTGGCTCCGTCTCAGATCACGGGCCCGAAGGGCCAACATCGAGGGGCAACGTTGATTTGCGCCGCAGCGCGGCAGAGGCGGTCCGCACGCGCGTCCAAGCAACCTGGGCCACGGTGTTACGAGTTGTCCCGCGTGCAAGAGGAGGGTCGGCGATTACAGTCGGTGCGGTTGCGCCGGGGTGCGCTTTGCGAGTTGCTTTGTGGCGGCCTTTCCAGGGCCTCTGTGAGAGACAGTGTCATATTTGTCGTCGTTTCGAGCGACGCTGTCATATCCTCGATGTGTGCTCCCCTGTTGCTTGGAAGGAGCGACAGTGTCCTGCGATCCGGTCGCATGGGGCGACAGTGTCATCGGTTTCCCGCGCGGCGGGCCCTCTGCCGTTCCCCTCATGGGGCACAGCAGAGGGCCGGCCGCGGAGGGGGACATACCGAAACAAAAACAAGGCATCGTCGGAGGTCCGGGTCTGGTCAGGAGGGGAAGAAACACACAGGCACAGTTAATCGTCGATCCCCAGAAAAATAGGACAATATGGGAAGTGGGGGGGAAAACAGAAACCGAGAAAATATGGGAAAATATGGGGAATCCTTTTATTGTGTGTATTTATTTGTGTGTCCCAGGGCCCCTTCATTTGACCCGTCCTCTCGGGGGGTCGGCTTCTCGACTGGGTCGCCCTGCGGGCGGCCTCTCGTGGGGCCAGGCAAGAGAACGGCCTCTAGAGATCGAGGGCGCACGCAGAGGAAAAACGGCCGCCACGACTTGGCGCTGCGTCGCCCGGGTCTGTCGGGGGCGTCGGAGGGGAGGGCGAGGGCCAGGAGTGTGTGCGTGTGTGTGTGTGTGTGTGTGTGTGTGTGTGTGTGTGGGTATCATGGCCAGGGGCAGAGACTCTCTCTCAGACTTCTTGGCCCCTCTTCCCTTTTTTTCCTCTTGCTCATTCTGCTCCATGAATATTCGTATGTTTTCTATGATTCATATGCGTACTCGTATAACTTTTTTCCCATTCGTATGAGTATCAGTAGTAGTATTAACATTACTATTTTCTTAATACCATTAAGTGTGATTCGTACTCATATTACTAGTCTTATGTGTGGTTTTGTTATTGTTATTCGTATGGTCGTTTTTATGAGTATCATTATTTGCATTGATACTATCATTTGGGTTATGCTTATGCGGGGGGCGTTTTGGCCAGAAGCTTGTGGGGAACCCAGCCTCAGGAGGTCTCAACCCAATCCCCAGCACCGGATTTACACCTTGGGTCGTTTCTTGACGGTCCCGGGGCCTGGCGAGGGCCCCCAGAGGCCGAACACTCCTCCCGTCGTGCGACGCGTGGGGACTGGGGATCGGGCCACCCAGCGTCCTTGAACCTCGAACCCCCGACCCCCCCAAACCCAACGTCCAAGAACCCCGAAGCTCGATCCCCTTCTTCCTGGGCCACCCTCGGACGGTCTGGAACAGGAGGAGGAGGAGGAGGAGGAGGAGGAGGAGGAGGAGGAGGAGGAGGAGGAGGTGGCTCGAGGAGCAAAACGCCTGGGATCACCCGCCTGAGTGGGACCCCCCTGGCGCCCGGCGCAGGGCGACGCCCCGAGCGAGCTCGTCCTGTGACGGGGCGGGCAGCCCCCCCCCCCCCGCGGGAGCGCCCGCGCGCGCTCCGCGGCCCCGGGCGGGGCTCCTCGCGCGGCCCTGCGGGGTGGGGGCCCGGGGGTCTGGGCCTCCCAGATGGGCGACGCAGAGCGACGGGGTCGTCCTCCTCGCCTGCTGCTCCTCCTCGTCCTCATCCTTCTGCTCCTCCTCGTCCTCGTCCTTCTCCTCCTCCTCCGCCTCCTCTTGCTCATCCTCGTCATCCTCCTCGTCACACATCTCCTCCCCCTCCTCGTCCTCCACCTCCTCCCCAGGCTCCGTATTGAGCCAGATCGGCGATGCACCAGCGCTGCGGAACGATCCTCCGACCCTGTCCACTCCAACCCCATCTGGGAGGCCTCTAGGGATCCTCCTCCTGCTCATCCTCATCTTTCTCCTCGTTCTCCTCCTCATCTTCCTCCTCATCAGCCTCCTCCTCCTCCTCCTCCTCCTCCTCCTCCTCCTCATCACCATCATCATCACCACCATCATCACCATTGTCATCATCATCATCAACAACATCATCATCATCAGCATCATCATCATCATCATCCTCGTCATCGTCAGCATCACCATCATCGTTATAATCATCAGCAGCGTTATGATTATCCTCGTCATCATCATTATCAGCATCCGCAAAATCGTCAGCATTCGCATTATTATTCTCCCCTTCAGCATCGTTATCACAATCGTCATCGCCATCGTCATCTTCAACGTCATCATCGTCATCGGTGGCACGGCAGCGGAGTGTTGTGGTGGGCGTGAGCGCTTCGGCTCCGACCCCCTCTTGGAGAGCGGGATCATCATCATCAGCACCATCGTCGTCATCACCTTCAGCATCATCAGCATCATCAACATCGTCATCATCACCATCATCACCATCATCACCATCATCATCATCATCACCATCATCACCAGCATCCTCCTCATCCTCATCCTCATCCTCATCCTCATCCTCATCCTCATCCTCATCCTCATCCTCATCCTCATCCTCATCCTCATCCTCATCATCTTTCTCATCCTCCTCCTCCCTCCCCGCGAGGCGTCTGTGCCCTCATCCTCCCCATCGTGCTCCTCCTCCTCCTCCTCCCAGCGCATCCCGGCCCACGCGCGGGGCGCGGGACGATAAGAGGACTGCCGTGGGCGGCGCCGGCGCCGGCGCCGCGACGAAAAGCTGCCGCGCCCGCAGTTCTGTCGCACCCTGTTCCCGGACCCCCCCTCGCGTCGTGAAAACTTTTGTCAGTTTTATGTTCGCTCTGAGAACGGGCAGTTTCTGGCTATTCTGTTGGCTCCTCGGGATGGGCAGTTTTTGGCCATTCTCGGCCTCTGGGTGCCCTCGCTGGGCCCTTGGGCGGTCCGAAAGCGACTCAGGATGAAGAGCCGGTCCTGGGGAACGGGTCGGAACTTCCAGGGATTCCAGAAATGGGATATCGCATGTCTGGGCTCGCGTCGTGCTCTCTGGGGGCCCTCGCCGCACCCTGGGGCCGTCAGAAAATGACTCAGGACGAAAAGCCGCTTCGAGCGCAGGGGTCGAATTTTCCGGGGGGTCCACGCTGTGAGTACATCATTACATCGGAGGCCCGGGTCGCGTGGCAGTGCACTCTGCCCTCCTCCCAGATCCCCGGTGGTTGTTCCCAAGCATCCTGTGTTGTTGGGTCCTCGCTTTGGAGAGACGGCGCTCCTCCTCATCCTCATCCTCCACCTCCTCCTCCTCCTCCTTCTCCTCCTCCTTCTCCTCCCCCTCCTTCTCCTCCTCCTTCTCCTCCTCACCCTTTCATGCTCATCGTCTCCATCGCGATCTGGATCACCCACCCCTGTTTCGGCGCACCACTCACACGTTGCGTGGCCCTGTAGTGAGCTCCGCCGAAGGCCCAATTGGCTGCGTTCGCATGGCACCGCCGCGCCTATTTCGGCGCACCCCTCACACGTTTCGTTGCCCCACGGGGAGGTCAACCGAAGGCCCAAGTGGCTGCGTTCGCATGGCACCACCGCGCCCAATCGGGATACCCTTGGCACGCTTTCGTGGCCCCAGAGGGACCTCCACCGGAAGCGGTATCCACGACGCGGCACTCACAACTGCATACAGTGGAGACTCATACCAAGAAACACCCTGCTCGCCTCCAGGGTGCCCTGGGTTTATTGGGTTTCGACGGTTTTGCTGTGGGCAGCGTGACGCTCCTGCATCAAAAACCCATAGACGTCCTGGGGCCTCAGGGCTGGGTCTCTTGTGGAAGGTTGCTTGTGGCCGGGCCCCTACTGCGTGGTTGGGCCCGTCGCCAGGATGGATGGTTGTTTTGTGAGGTCTGGACGCTTCCCCTCGATGTCGGCCTCTGCGTCTGGTGTTGCTGGAAGCACCCCTGGCCCAAGGCACCCCGAGCTTTCTTGGGGTGGCCCAGGCGGCCTCCAGGGCACCCCTCACGAGGCCCAGGGGACCCCAGGGGGCTCAAAAGTGGAGCGAAAAGCTGGGGGCTCAACAATGGAGCGACAATGGAGGGCACCCCTCACGAGGCCCAGGGGACCCCAGGGGGCTCAAAAGTGGAGCGAAAAGCTGGGGGCTCAACAATGGAGCGACAATGGAGGGCACCCCTCACGCGGCCCAGGGGACCCCAGGGGGCTCAAAAGTGGAGCGAAAAGCTGGGGGCTCAAACATGGAGCGATAATGGAGGGCACCCCTCACGAGGCCCAGGGGACCCCAGGGGCCTCAAGAGTGGAGCGAAAAGCTGGGGGCTCAAGGGTGGAGCGACAATGGAGGGCACCCCTCACGAGGCCCAGGGGACCCCAGGGGGCTCAAAAGTGGAGCGAAAAGCTGGGGGCTCAAAAATGGAGCGACAATGGAGGGCACCCCTCACGAGGCCCAGTGGACCCCAGGGGGCTCAAAAGCGGAGCGAAAAGCTGGGTGCTCAAAAATGGAGCGACAATGGAGGGCACCCCTCACGAGGCCCAGGGG